TGCCTTTGCTAAAAACTATCAGCACGTCTCCTTATCAATACAAATCGAATATTTTTTGAAATAGTCAAATCGGTTGATCCGTGTTCCCAAAATCGTCGACCAAAATTTGTATCCTCACACACACACATCCTATTTTTTCCAAGGTATGCCAAAATGTTCAGAAACCTTTGAAACGTGAAGATATATAAAAAATTTCACTTTCGATTTTTTTGTGATTACTATAACTTATCCTACGGAAAGTTAATAATTTTAATCTTTTTTTAGATTGAATCCTGCCAAACCCAAAAACGCTCCAGTCCTGCTGGCAGACATGGAGCTGATGATACCAAATGCAGTAATTAAACCACCATTAGAACAATTGAATGCTGCCTTTCAGAGGGTCATCATGAATGCTATAACTACACACACTGCCATTACCAGCTGGGGCAGGAATGCTCCTACGAAAACAAATCGAGGTAAAAAATAAATAAAATCTTTGGAAATCTTTGGGATGCAAAATCACATTGAGGAATATATTTTATGATTGAGTTTGTTTTCAGATGGTGTAAAAGCTGGTGGAATTTACTTGAAGGAAAAATACAGAACTTACTACACTTTGGTATCGGAGCACAAGGATGTAGTCAGGGCTGTTGTCAATTTAGCAGCTGATATTCTCGAATTGAGGAGGGATTTTGAAAATTTAACAAATGTAAGTTGAACTGTATTTACAGTACCTTTCACTTTTACCATATGTCCTTTATCTTGCAGTCGTTCAAAGTCTATGAACATCTGTGGTCAGAAGATCGAGAAGACCAGGTCATCGAATTTGTAAATACGAAACCTCTGGTTGCTGATATTCGGGAGACTTTCAGGATGTACGATGACAGGGCTATTGCTATCCAGAATTTGCCCGAGACTTACCAGATTGGAATCATACTTATCAGAACAGGTGAGGGATTTGCTTTAGTTTCTTCTGGTATATTTTTTATCTACTTTAGGGCGCATTCTTTGATCACGTGGTCGGTTTTTTAGGGGCTTTTCGACCCCCCATTCACCTTTGGTGATATGCGGTGGTATTCACATGCATTTTTATTTACGAATTCAGGTAAAAAATAAATACACGTGTTTTCTTATTATACTCCTCCTTCCCTCATATGATAATGTGTGATTATTCATCTTGATCACACTGTTTTGCAGAAAGTCAGATTGATTTTTTTTCTAATGTTTGTTTCCTTTCCTTTAGAGAATTTGAAACGAGCTTTGATCATTGAATCAAATGCCTGGAAGAAAACTTCTAGGAAAACATTTGTTGATTTACAACAAGCAGATCTTGGTCGAAATGGTAGACTTTATCAGCCAGCAGACAAAATTGTTGGCTAAAGAGTTAAAGGATTTGGACGATGTCAGAATGGCTATGCAGTGTTTGGAGGTTGTTCGAGATAATTTATCAGGTAAAATGATACACAAACATTTAGCTAATCAATCAGTTGCATTGGTAACGTTTTTTTTATTGTATACAGATTGGATATGTCCTTGGCTTTGATGGAAGAGACCTATGCCACTTTTGCCCAATTCAATGTTGATATACCTCGAGAAGACACAGATCGTGTGGACAGTTTGCGATATAACTTTAAGAACATGCTC